GAGAGAGAGAGAGAGAGAGAGAGAGAGAGAGAGAGAGAGAGAGAGTGAGAGAGAGAGAGAGAGAGAGAGAGAGAGAGAGAGAGAGAGAGAGAGAGAGAGAGAGAGAGGAAAAGAGAAGAAAAAACTTGGCTAAAAAAAATTGCGTTCTAAATGCGCCCCTCTTTCTTATTATATGCTGTGTAATCTAAAGCGAACTGTTTATGCATAATCGATTTTTTCATTCTGTACATAATCGCGCCGTTTTCAGTCGTCGAAGAAATGAGAGAAAGAAAAACGGCCAGCAACATGTATGCATCGGTATATTCCGTTTTTCATCATTGTTTTATAGACGAAACAAAGTGCAAAGCACAAACAAGTTCGAAAGCCACGTTATACATGCGAGCCGCGAAAAAAATAAAAAAAAAAAATGAAAAACTATAAATATAATGTATACCTCATAAAATCATAATATAGAAAAGAGGAGAAAAAAACGTTGGCTACGATGCACACAACGAAGATGCGCGCTAGAACAAATCGAATGTGTTTTTCCACTTTTATCGAGAGCAACAATTTCGGTATCAAAGCAGCAACATTCACATGCACCAAAAGAACGGAAGAGATGTCATGTATGTTCTACTTTAGTTTTTTTTCACTGCTCTATCTCAAGAGCGCGCTCGAGCGAGCGCATCTTGACTTCACCATCCCAGCACACTCTTTCAAACGGTTCGTGCGTGTAACGAGTAGCTGTAAAAAAATAAGAGCTCCGTCGTCCATGTGAAGCAGTTGCTGAAATTTCAATTGACCATTTCACATGATCACTTTCCATTCACTTATTACAAAAAGACGCGGTTAGCGGCCGTAAACATTCGAATGATGTAACAGTCGTAATAAAATTTCGCGTTAAATAAACCAACGACACAGCGAGAGAAAAAAAATGAAGACGAAAAAAAGGCATTTTATTCGAAATGAGAAGCCAAATGCAATTGCATTTTCAAAACATTGATTATAATTTAAAATGGTGAAAATGGCGAAAGGGTTCGAATTGCGATCCAAACGCCAGGATAATGTGAAATTGAACCAATACACATATGTACGGTCACCATTTTATGGGCGATAATTTTGTTTTGCCTACTTCTTCTTCTTCACCGTTTTAAATGAAGAACGAACGAACGAACGAACGAAAAAAAGTATCCTTAACTGCACTGTGCTCGCGCCTCGCGTTTGAAGCTAAAGAACGAAGAAATGCTCATTTTATTACCATATTTCGAAAAATCAGATAACTTACACGAACATTCATTTTTGTTCGATTTATATAAAAGTGTATATCGTTTATCTCTCACCCAGGCTCCGAAACAGCCGATTAATTCAAACTATTTATATTTAGACGAACCCGAGTGAGAGAGAGTGAGAGAGAGAGACGCGAACCAGAAAAAACACATAGAATAAAAATTACGTTATTTTAAAGGAAAAACACAACGGCTTTTGAACATAATGTTCGCACTGCATGTTATTTTGCCGAGAAGAGTTTTTTTTCTCTGCCTTTTCATTCCTCTTAAAGCGCTAAAGTACCAAAGCAGTGTAAAAAAAACTAAAGCCTTCCAGTATAATTTTTGTGCGCGAAACACCTCGCGTGCTTTTAATCAAAAAACGAAGATTGAAGTTGGCGAAACAAAAAAAAGATGCAAGTCAAAAAACGAAACGAAACAAAAAACCAACCGAGAGAGATGAAAAAGAAGTTTAAAAAAATCCCACTTGGGACATAGGTTTCGCTCGCGATGCATATTTTTTTTTTGGTTTTTTTCATTCGAGTGTGCCAAATGGGAAGATATTTCGAGTTTGGCTGACTGAAGAATACATAATATTCATTAGAACTGTTTATCAGTTTGTTGTAACAGAAAAATTAGTTTTTTCTTTTTGTTGTTGCTGTTGCTGTTTTGTTGCATGGGAGCTGTTGATTCGTTACTGTTGCTAAACAAAACTTGAAATAATACGTTGCTCGCAACATTTGCAAAACGAAATGGCCATTCGAAATAAATGCTGTTAAATAGATAAACATGAAATCGGGTGGCTCTTCATTATGCAAATGTTCGCAAAATGGCATCGAATAAATGAAGACGGACACGTCTTTGTTCGGCCAGAAAATTAAATACAACTAACAAACCATGTAATACGAGCGACTGCACGAAATTCTCTGTCCGAATGGAATTTGTTGGCAAAACAAAAATGAGACTGTGAAATGATTCGTAGCGAAAATGGTACAAAAAAAAACGATGCACACCTCGAATAGTTGATTGAACTATCACGAATGCAGGATTGCAAATTAATCACACAGACACACACAGGTATGTATCGTTGGAATTGTGTTGTTTTATGATGAGATCCTTTCATTTCTCTTCCGTTTGTATAAATATATGGAATTCCTCGATTTCGTGGCCATGGCATTGAATTTCTAATCACATTTTTGTTTCTGCGAACTAGATAGAGCGCGTGTTGTGTAATCTAAGCACTATGGTCAGATACATGAGGAAAGAGGCGAAAGATACAACAACAACGGCGCAACATGAATTCATCACATTAATTGTCGTTTTGGCTCAATTTATTAATAGACATAGTGCTTTAACAACGATTTTGGATCGTTCATTAAATAGATGCTCATGCACAAATCATGCTATGATTTATGTTTGAAACATTACAAATCTACCGGATAAATGAGCCCGCGCATGATGAATGCGTACGAGAGCCGCATACATTTCTTCCCCCCAAAAAAATATTAATCACATCCAACCACGCGCCCGCACGTATCGTTTGATTTTCTTTACATTAATTTCCTTTGAGTCGGCGTTTTGTTTCACTCTCTTTCTCTATCGTGTTCACTCACT